ACTTTAAATATCTTCATTTTTTTTCCGTTTGGACACCCTGGTAATCTTACTCAAGAACTGAGATTACTAGATCACCTGCTTAAGAACTACAAGACACGCAGACTTATCCGCCCCGTAAAGGATCGCTCCAAACCAGTTGTCATTGGTTTCAGTGCTGAGTTAATCGGCGTAGCTAAAGTGGTAAGAAAAATGCAACATATGATGCACGATCCTCGCAGTAGAGAGCGCTATTTATGCAATAGCGAAATTCAGACCTGAAAATAAAATCAGGCCTGTACGGGATTCGAACCACTGGTATCGCAGAGGTCAGTGGTTCGAATCCCGTACAGGCCTGATTTTTTTCAGGTCTGAATTTCGCTATTGCATAAATAGCGCTCTCTACTGCGAGGATCGTGCATCATATGTTGCATTTTTCTTACCACTTTAGCTACGCCGATTAACTCAGCACTGAAACCAATGACAACTGGTTTGGAGCGATCCTTTACGGGGCGGATAAGTCTGCGTGTCTTGTAGTTCTTAAGCAGGTGATCTAGTAATCTCAGTTCTTGAGTAAGATTACCAGGGTGTCCAAACGGAAAAAAAATGAAGATATTTAAAGTAACCGTTTCTATATTAGATATAGCAACATTTTAAAGCATTTTTCGATTGAGAGTGCAAAGTATTTTGGGAGTGTTCTGGTTTTACTTTACCTAGCTCAGTAATTGGTTCAGGAAACTGGCGCCACTTTTAACCAATCAGATGCAAAACTAAAACTAATCGCGACACTACTTGGTCGCCCACTTTTCCCGCGCTTTAGGTAGTTCGGTTGTTTTTACTTTTAGTTTTCATTGGCCCTTAAAAGTATTTTCCTTTCCTTTGATTGGCCATTGTAATTACTTTGGTTTTGGTTTTACTTACTCAATCGAAAAGAGCTTGACTACACCTACAGCAGATGTGGCACACGTGATGCCTGCTGGCCAAGCCTTCGATTGAGAACGCGGCCATTTTCTCCTTTTATCAGATATTTTGTACAGTTTGTTGGTATTTTACCTTGGTCTAAATACTTGAAAAACAGGTCGAAAAGCTGTGCTCAAGACGGATGTTACTAATAGCACCTCTAGCGTTAAATAAACCACCTTTCTCGAAGCGAAGCTGTTTGCTCCAACATCAGCAAGGGACGGTCGTCGTTCGCCTTTCATTTTTATTTCGAAAATTGTTAAAACTTTCACCATTTAATGTTAATTGTGGAAAATGGCACAACACAGCTTAGTTTTAAAATATATCAAAATCTTCCTTACTGTTCTGTGTAAATGTCGTTCACGGCAATTCAGCGAGCAGACTGTAGTCTTACTCACACAAAAAGCACTATGTGTCAAGAGTTTGTCGCATGTGATAAAGTTGAACTATGTAATAAAACTGGCAGTTGAAAAGAGTTCTCTAGAAATGAAAGTTCCTAAGGCAACATCATGTAAAATGAAAACGTAGTCTCCCTTGCAGTCCTTTGCGGGGAGCCTCGCTTGCGTGACGACGCCGGAAAGGGCTGCAAGGGAGACTAATGAAAAAGAGGAGAAATCTAAATTTTTTTACTTGTAAAATGGAGAATGAATTGTGATGTTTTTTGTGAACCATTCCTTCGAAAACAACGACTCTCCAATCTGCTTCTTTCATATCGCGTCTTACCCCAAACTGTAGTTTTAATAAAACTAAAAACCGCAGACAAGGACAGATGAGGCTCAGATTTCTATTTTCAATTATTTTGTGACCATTGTATCTTTCAGTATCTCTTGCAATCTCAAAACAGTCTCAGTAGAATGGAGCAAAAGAACCGAGGCTCTTCATTCAATTTATAAAATATTTAAAAAGTAAAAGTAATTAGAGGTTAGTGGTTGAAAAAAATGGAAAAATCAGAGATTAAGGGAAGGCCAAAAATAGCGTTTTTCAGTCAAAAATGGAAAAGTTAATTAAGAGTACATACATGGTCGTTGAAAGTGTGGGTAACCCTCATTTAAAGTATTAACCCTTGACCCAACAATGACACAAATAACAGATTCTAGATCAGAAAAAATAGTCAACGTAAATATGGGATTAGAAGTTAATCTTAGTTTTTAGTTATTTTATTAACTGTTATACATATTAAGATATCGTAACCTTTGCTTTTTGAGTGAAAGACTCAGACGATGAAAAAGTAAACCTGAATGCAAAGCCACAAAACTCGTAAAATGAAATAATTTTTTATTAACAATCCTTTTTTAATAATTTGATTAAATATCAGTTAATATCGATCTTCTATCAAAAATTCAAACAATTCAAAATGACTGGTGACGTATTTCTGAGACGGAACGAAGAAATATGGATACTTATACTGCATAAGAACTTATCAATCGAGAAAGTGCTTCGATCGTTTTTCCCATGAAGAATGGAGATAAATGAGCGCATTTGTACCGTCACCCCACAAACCGTCTTGGCTGAAAGTGGCTGTGACGGAAAGACTACTTTTGACTGGTATACCAAAAGTAAAGAGCAGTGACAAAGTTTCTGTTATTTTACTGACGATTCAAACAATACCATCAACGAATAATACAATAGAGGTCCCTGATAAAAGCCTGATGTGTTATTTTGCAAAACATAAAACACTATCTCCTCTTTAAACATGTCATTTCAAAATGCATTTTCGTCTGGCTGTTTAATCAGTTAAACCTCAACAATTCTTAAAACTGCCACATTTTCTGGCTCAGTTCTCATAAAAAGGTATTAAAAGTTTTTAAGGGAGGATAGGAAAGGATAAAACGAAATATTTAAAGATAACCTCATGAATGAAACTCAGCAGTAGCTGATACTAGCTTTATTTCATACTCGATGCAATACGTGATCTGCTATAAGATGAAATTCAATTTAGCTAGTAAGGTAATACAACACATTTCAGATTCTCTGACGTAAAGTTCACACAAAGACTAAACAATCAAATAGTTTGTTTCCGAAATTAACCTTGGTATTGCATGACGCTAACTGCGGACGCCATGTTGACAGTGATTTCAAAGATTGCATGTAAATTTGATAAGATTTCTAGCCTTGTGGTCTCAACAGGGGGATGAATTAAGATGTCACTTCGCTGTAAAGGAAATGAACAATAAAGCACTGAAAAATGACAAAGAAAAATAATCAATTCATGAAACATATGTAAAATCAAACAAAAATCACCTTTTTCAACCCAGATTTTACCCTTGAGAAATCTTATCTGTAGTTTTGTGCTATGAATTCCAACTTCTGTTATCTTCATAGTGGTATTGAAACTTCCTAACAAAATACACGATGTTTCATTTGCCTAAAGACGTTTTGGTGGCCTTTCGTTTCGCACATCGTTTCGCATTAACCTGCTCGTCAGCTTGTTAACTTTAGCTGACAGCGGTGCGTCAATTGGTGGCTTTCATATCAAACGAGTTACAAAAATCCTAGCTACAAAAAAGCTAATATTACCGTAATTAATGCAAAATGCGCAGTTTTCTCATTCAGTGTTTGTTATCCCCCTTTTATGACAGCCTATTACTTGGCAGCTATGTCATAGTAACCTCAGTTGTTAATATTGTACTTTTATGGTTAGAGCATTTTCTCGAAACTTCGGAAGACACTATAATTATTTTGCAGCCGAGTTAATTCATGAAACTGAGCTTTCTGGATCGAAAATAAGTTCTAAACTGATAAGACAAACTTGTGTTAGGAGAACATGGAAAGCGTCAATACGTAACTAGGGTCGGAAGCAAGATTATTGATCGAAATTAACACCAGTTTGTATCTAAGGCCATAAATTATGAAAAACTTGAAAAACTACGTTTCCAACTGAAAACAGCCTCAAAGTAGTTTGCATTTGGGTTTTTGCGATTAGCATGTGGACAATGATTTCAGTAAACGCGCAGTTTATAATTAGTTCACTTTCATTCGCTTTCTATTAGGTTCTCAAGGCTGTTAAAGGCTTTTAAAGCTGCATTGAAAATAAACGCACGATGAAAAATATTACAACAAAGAACAATTCCGTTTTGATTTACGAAATTCGTTTAGTAAGGGAATGGTGTTTAAGTTCATCGTTAGAAGTCGTTACCTTTCTCCAAAATACACAACACAAAACGAAATCTCTCTCGAATTTTCACTTTATCGTTTATTACCCAGTCTATGATAGAACAAAATTATTCAAATTCCAAGCCTGCCATTTAGAATTATAAATTGATTTCGAAACAAGACTTAACAGTACAAAGCATACTGGAACATTTTTAGATCTAACGGATTAGATTTTCAAAAAATGCTCGAATGTATTTCAAAATCTATTTGGAATTTTCGAAAATATTTCAACACGAAAATTACTTGAAGTTTTATATTCATCAAAACTACCAACCAAGAGCTCTAGACGGAAAATTAGGATTAAAGACTCTAAGGAAAGCCAACCAAAGTGGACCCGATATTGATTTAATTGTGCCTTTCTATCACTCGTGCAAATTAGTTATGTTCCTGAACCACCAAGGGAGAAGTCCGATAGGGAAATTGTTTCATTTGCAAAATGACAGCGATATCTACTCTCTTGCAGATTTCTACATGAAAACATTTACACACATGAAATACACGTGTAACTAACGCGAAGACAGATAGTAGGAGAAGCAAGGGTATACTTTGATTGAAAGGAACACAATTTCAAACATGAATATGGCAGTTTAAAATTTTTGAATAATAATGTAAAGTAAAAGAAGCTCCTAGGCTGGTGCGCCTTTCAGTGAAATTAACTCTCGAAACAAAGGAATGGGAGAACTGATTTTTCACCTATATCACTGAACGTTTTTTATAGTGATGAAAATTTTATTCTTCTTTAACCTTTTGAGTTAAGACGCAAAACGGAAAATGTTTTGATTCCATACTGTGGCTACTTATAAATTTCGACTAGCTGAGAAAAAACCCGAGACCTTAAAATCTTAGCAACTCTCAGTGAACATGTATTCGTGTCATTAAATATTGAAGAAAAACCTTCTCTCAGTGTTTATTTCTGTCTTGTAATGTGTGTTTTAAAAATCAAAAACCTCCGAATACCAGGGGGTCGTCATATCACTAATATTAAAATGAAAAGGTTAAATTCTTCCTTCAGGCAACGCTCAAACATTTCATTGCGAAATTCAATTATTTTTCGGCACAAGAAGAGAGATTGTTAATAGAATAAAAATAGCATAATGAACTTCTTTGAAAGCCGACGTAACGCAGAAAAAAAAACCACGCTGAGAAATAACGAGACAATTTGAGCAAGTTTCACGATGAGACACAAGACGCGCGGCCTTCTAATGTGGAATAAAATTCCAAACTATAATTCCTCTTAGCGTATTTAATAGACGCACACCATTTAAATACATCCGAATTTTCAGCAGACACGATGAAGATCTAACAAAATATTTCAAAAGAACTTAAGGTGATTTGCATTCTGTGAAGCAAACACTTAAACCGATTTTATTGAGAGCGACATTTTCATAGAAACTCAAACATTTTCATACCTTGCGCAGATTCATCCATCTCGGCGAAGGCAACGATTGAACACAACACCCAGGTGCTCAAAAGACAGGACGTAAACACAAGCGGCGACATCTTTGGAAACTAACTCAATAACAGGAAACTGTAAGAAAAAAGAAGGCAAGCTTAAAAAACTTCTAAGCGTATTCTTGAAGTGAAGCTAGGACTTGTACACAGCCTGTGAAATAACCATGTGACGCCTTATCGGTCATGAGTTAATTTCTGATATATTTCACTGACGTCAGCCGTCTAGAAAAATATTAAATGAATATGGAATCATGTTCTGAGGTCTTCCGTGAATTAACCAGCATAACAATGCGTTTATAGCGCACATTATCCAGAGTATTTGAAAACCATAAACATTGACAAGATTGGATAATCGTGAAATCATTGTTCCCAGTACAACGGTCAGAACAGGTTGTTAACTTAACATTCATAATATGCCGTTTTCTTTTCAGATTTATGCTTGGTATATCATTTAGCCCGTATAGTAACCGTCGCTTTGAGGGTCCCTAAAGAAATTTCCTGCCATAAGAAGCATTAGTAAATTATTCTTGAGCTGAAGTATTTTGTTTCGTTTTGTTGCTGATGGTTTTTAAAATTTTTAGACTTCAGCCTTGAAAATATGTAGTTACTCTTTCACAGGAATCTGTCGAAAAATCGGTCTCATTTCACGTAACACAGCCAAAAAAAGGTTTGAAATTCAAATAGTAAATATAGCTTATTTGCTGAAAAATCCCGAAGGGTGAATGCACAAGACAGCTTTTGTTTCAACAATAACGTGATTAATTTTGATTTTAAAGATAAATATATTTTTTTTTGCTTGTGAATAAATCTTTCGTGGTGATCATGTTCGAAAACAAAGCTTTCTTGGATATGACGTACAATGAGCAAACATGCATAACAAGTATTAGTTTACTCTTAGAAAATTACTTGAATATTGACTTGTAAGTTCATCAAACGTGAGTTGTGTCATGAAGATAGATTTTGCCTCTTTAAAATTGAGGAATTGTTCTAGACAAACTCTGTGTTTTGATACACCGGTGCAGATCTTTATGAAACGAAATAGCAGCAACTGAAAAGGCAATATCTCACTGTTGTTTAAATAGTACTTTAGTGTAGTTGTTCAAACATACCTCTCTTTTCATAAAAGACGAATGTAATGAAGGTTATTAAGTTTAAAAGATATGTTCTTTGTTTCAGACATGAATCAGTTGTTGCACAAATGTCACTTCACTCGCGATACCCAAAAGGTCCTGTAAATAGACGAGCGAGTCGCTGCTTATTACGAATTTTTTCTAAAAACTCAGAACAGCCCGTAACTAATACTTTTTTCAACCATTTTTCCGTTTTAGTATAAAATCACTGAGATAGATATTCCGAATTTACTTGAATGTTTTCCTCACGTAAAAAAATAAGTGGTCAAGACAAATGGAATCGAAATTACATTTTTATCATCGATGTCATGCATTATGTTATCGGTTAATGTTCGTTCATAAGCGCATATTTGCCCAATTTTAAGCTTCTGGCATAACCTGCTCGGATAAAAGAAAAAAAAATCCAGATAGGGCATTAAATTAAGCTAAGATGGACCCACATGAAAGGGGCAAATATCAGGAGCCCTTTAGCTGAAGCGCTCAATTGTCCTTTGCTCATGTCACGGCGTTTTCACAGACAATTGAAAATTGTTCATCTTTCTGTGTAGGTTTTGTACCATACAAAGGTCGCTTGAGGTTGTTTCGAAGATTACTATATGAGGATTGGTAACTGAGTCACGTATACGAGAATCATGCTTTGCGGCATTCCCTGGAGCGGTTGAGTGTATCCTATAGCACAACCTGGTAATGAGCAGAACAAGAATAATATCTGGCGGGATTGGACGATATATGTGGCTGAAATTTGAAGATAATTTAATCTCGTGTATCAGTTATGTGATATCCCACAACTAACTATATATACATATATATATATATATGGCAGAAAAGTGGACAATATTTGATTGTTTGATTTTGTGCCACCCTCCTGCGGCAAATAGCAGGAACTCAAGGATTGGTTTTAAATGACGAAAATGGGGGGAAGTTACAGTGAGGCTCTCCTACGATCATTTTCTTGCTTCATCTCCACCCATTGACCGATAAATTGTTCTCTTGCGAGAATTGGTAAGCTTAAGATGGATTTGAATCTGTAAACCGTAAGACCTGATTAACTCATATACGACAATAGCGTTTTAACCGGAGACCCGGCGTCGTCGCATCAATTTAACCACAAATTAAATTTTAAAAGTGGGTTCTTATATTTAGTTGCGTGGGTATAATTCAGATTTATTTCCTCAACTTCCTATTTTTGTCGGCGATTTCTATATTTAGTTGGTTTCTAATAATGAAGCATGAAATCTTTATCGTTACGTGGTTCCCCCTTCTTTTTCCACTCGGCCCCGGGAAATTCCGGCAGTAAATTAAAATGTTTTGTAAAAAGTCATAAACTAACACGATTTAAAAGAACCTGCTTTCAGTCATGTCCTAGTTCTTTGGCGTCACCGTCATAGGGAGCTGTATTTGAGTCTTGCTAATGATGAAAGGCAGGTTATGTACTGGTGAACTCTTTTTCATCACAAAGCACTTTAAAGTCTTAGGAGGTTCAATGCTTTCCTTTAACGGAATAAAGGTGTCTACAAGCAATAGTGTGACAAATTTTGGAAAAAAATAAAAAACCGCAACAACAGCTAAAATACCGCGTCACATGACCTGTAATTGGGCAACAAAACAGCAACGTGACTGCGTGCAATATGAACCGTTTAAGAGGCGAGTACCACCGTACAAAACGTCCCAAACCTCCCCAACCTCCCAAACCGTACCTCCGTTGTAATTTATCAAAGACGACTGAGTGCTTGCTGGCCTTTTTTCCTCGAATAATAGCGTCTTTTTATTCATTTTTAATGAATGCTTCTTTGTCCTTGAAAAAGAAGGAAAAAAAAATAGGTTTGCACCTGTATCATGATGTTTTCTTTCTACAAACAATATTTCATGTCTAAGAAAACTTTATCCTCAGAAATTTTGGGATAAAACAAAAAAACATGCGTTTGTGTAGTGTTAATACCATTTTTTTTATTTTTAACGTGTTGTCCCGCATAGCCCAATGACAACACCACACCATATATTTCCATTTCTCTTGCGTCGTGCAAATTTGTGCTACACAAAGAATATCAACAATCTGTTTTGTTTTTGTTTTGATTTTTTTTTATTGTGAGAATTTTTTTCGATAACAGCTTGTCTTTTTACTTTTTCTGCTTGCGATGTCGTCAAATCATCAATCTGCCATTGCCTAATCTTGATGTTGTTTTCAACATAATTTGCTTAGCTTTCAGTCCAATAATTGCAAATTCCAAGTGCATGCAAACTTTACGCGTATTTTGTCTGGCAAACCTCACGCAAACTTCACGCAAACCTCACGCAAACCTCACGCAATTGCTAGCATGACCTCAAATTGATAACTGGCGTGCCTGGTGCAAGTTGGAGTAGAATTTTGCTCAATTAAATATAAAATTTCTTTCATCTTGCACTGTAACATACTAAGTAGAATAATAATTGCTTGATTTTGTTTAATTTCCAGAAATAAGCTACAAAACAAAGAAGCACAAACTCCTTCTTTGTGGCGACCATAAAATGCAAATTCCTTTAGCTTGGATTATCTTACCCCCAGCCAAAATTAAATGTCATGGCTGGTTCTACAATTTAAAAAAAAAAAAACCTTACAAAGTAAATGTCATACCTAAAATTGAAGAATACACTGATTCTCTGCGCTTTTAAGCACTTTCTTAATTAAAAAATATAAATGCTTTCAGTTTCCACCATTTACGATCCAGTTGTAGTTTGACAACCCTGACAGTTCGAAAGATTGAACGGCGCACAGCAATGAATGCTAATTAAGGAAGAAAATGTACTGCCGCTAAAAATAACATGCATTTTAATACGCTTCTATCGCTCCTTAATTGCTCGGACAGCAGCTGCAGTTGATGATTTCTCGTTTCTGTTTGCAAAGATGGCAGATAACACGATATATATAAGTTTCAGAAATGCACCTTGAATTTCCACTTTTTGTTTCAACAAAACCTCCAGGTATGAAACATTTATGGCAGAAAAACCACTAATGCTTATTTAAGGCGTTTTTTACATGTTAACGGTCACCCATAAGTGTCTTTAAGTTTGATAAAAGGCAAAGTTTAATGTGCTCTAAAGCGCTGTTTACAAAACTTTGTTAATCTTGATCATTAGGCTTCATTCAAATTTGCATATTTTGGAAAAAGAGGGACTTCACAAACCAACACTTCTTCGTGTAAACACGGAATTCTTCTTTTGCTTCTCAGGCAGATTTTTCGCCCTTTTTTTCAAAGTTTGTTTTGAATGATAAGATACCGTGTATTGCGGACTGGATGTAAATTTATGGTATATGGGCACATTGAAACATAATGAACAAATTCTTTGAGATTTAATTTCGTGATTTATAAAAGTGGAATAAGTGGAATTGATTTCAGTGTTTTCTTCTCTTAATCTAAAGTATGAGCGGCGAAATTGAGAGGTTACTACCGCAGTTAAAAAGCGTTATTTTACTCCAAAATTCGTTTTTTGTCCCGAGGATAATATAAATGTTTTCTTGCGTAAGCTACCGCTTTTTTCAAAGAGCCATGATGTACTGAAAAAAACAGTCGAAAATACAAATCATTAAATCGAAAAAAATTGTTCATTCACCTTTGCCACGTTTTCCGTATCGAACATTAACCTCCTCGGATTCAGGCTGATTTAATAGTCTTCACGTTTCATTCCCCAAACAGAAAGGCAACAAATGAACTTTTGCCCGAGTTTGACTTGCTTTGCTTTCTCGATTGCCTGCCACTCAGCAAGAACTGAAGGCTTACGCTTTATTCAAAATCGATGCTAGAGCGCATGACAATTGTGGCAACGTGGGCACCTCATTTTGACGTTGATAACCGAGGCGTTCTTTCGCAATGTGCGTGTGCATGTTGTAAAATGAGCAATTGAATTTCTTTCGTAGGTATGAAAAACGCATTTTTGAACGTGAACAGAATTTTCTTGCTCCATTAACACTGCTTTTGCTATATGGCCGCTGGTGAGCAAAGTATGGCAGGATCTCGTCAGGTGAATTATTTTTTATTTCTCTCAAGAGAGTCGGAGGATGTTTTGGCCAAAAACTAAGCAAAAAAAAAAATCATAAACTAAGCAATGTTCTTTACCGTCTATTTAGCGTCCATAATGCAGGTATTTGTGAAAAAAAAAGTATTTTTAGAATCGCACTTCATCCCGTGCAAGTGCACTGAGTTGAATGATCAAAACAGCAAAATTCGTTCGGAAAGGCAATGGTTAAGCTTCTGAAATAACTATTACGATGACAGTCACTGACTATTCATAAAAATGCGGCCAAGCTCACAGTTCTCGACTTTTGACCTCGGAAAATTTTGAAAACTATTGGCGTGGTAACAACGACAGACTACGACAATCTTCGGCGCAGTAACTTTGGGAACATTTTGACAACCTTTTGGGGCAGTACCTTTGGCAAATTTCCTCAACACTAGCATGACTGGCTTCGGAAAAGTTCAAAATTTTTTACCGAAGTGACCTCGGCAAAAGTAATGTAAATGTCAGCGACTGTCACCGGTTATCATCTTGTAGCGCCTACAGAAATTTTGTCGTCCACCTTGGGCGATAGCGAATAAAGGCAAAGAAAATGTAATTTCCTGGAGGTATCTTTGAAAACACTGCACAACGAAACTGCCTCTTGATTTGATAATCAGCTATTTGAAAGCTGGGGGTATTCTTCTAAATAAACGAGGACGTCCCCCGAGTAATAACGACTCAAGTCGCTTTGCTAGCAGTCGTATAAAAGGGTTTGACTACGTTACAAAAAGTAGTCTCCAATTACTTCTCGGCGTTCTTAACGTCGGGCAGTAAAAGCATGATCCCATTATTAAATAGTTCAAACCGTAAAAATAAGCTAGAACATGGGTAACGTTTTATGATTTTCATTGATGATAGGTAATAGCGAGACCATTCATTATAGGTTGCATGCATTTGGCGCAGAAATAAAAAAAGAAACTCTTTTTCGGTTAATAGTTAACTTCAATGATTTAAATGAACGTTACTGCACCTTATTCTTATCAAGGGAGGAGTGGAAGAGTGGGGGCCAGGGTTGGCAGAGTGACGAAAGCGTTTGCTGTGGCCTGGGTTTGACTAATTTCGAAACCTGTCGTCACACCTAGTTTGCTGTTACGTTCCATCTTTCTGCTGTTCTTTTGCTCCCTCCACAAGAACTAAAACTCCAAAGAGGGAGCAGGATTTTTTTTTCTTTAATTTTCGTTATATTCTTTTAATATTCATTCAATCTGACATCTTAGAAAACCAGCTGTTATTGTCTCAATACTTAGCCATAAAAACGAAATTCAATGAACATTTTTAAAATGCATTAACTTCATATGTAGAAGATTCGATGAGATTCCCGAGCACCTGCCAATCATTTTGTGAGCATTGCTAAATCTGATTGGTGAAAACTCCTCTTGGATTACTATTGGTTAATTGGAGTTGAATTCGTTCTTTGCCGGATGAGTTGATCAATTTAAGCCTTTTAAAGTCCTTCATTTCATTTCCTTTTTGATGCTAAGTCCGTTTTTCCAACTGACACTCGCATTAAAAATAATTGTCAGAACTGTGACAACTTCCAGAGTTCAGGAATTCGTTGGCCAAAAAAGGAAACTTCACTTGAACGAAAAAGAGTATGTCATGACATTTGCGACCCATAAAATATACTATTTTCTTTTCTATTGTCGCTTTCAGTGGCTATGGAATAAAATTAGATTGTCTTCATTTTTCTTTCTTATCCATGGTGTCAAATTCGAACAATGAAAAATGGGCATTCAACATGTAATTTCGACTAATGAGGATTTTTGGAAATTTCGAAAAAGCACTAATTTCCTCGCCATCTATCATCTAAATATGTTTGCGAGTTTCATCATGGGCATGCGATTTAAACTGGAAATTGAATTTAAACATCGGTCTCGGCAATTATGTCCAAGAACCTCAACGAATTAGAGAGGACAAGTAAATGAAAGAGCGCGACTTCCTTCAGAACTATTTGCTTTTCTTTTGCCACATCCTCATTTGCAATACTCCACAGGAAAAGAAATTTCAGACCCAACTACTCGAACATATCTAGTCGTTGATTTACCGTTGCACAAAATTAGTAAAAAAGGGATTTTATTTAGGCTTCTATAATAGAGGATGAATTTTCGCAATTCAGTACAGAACTTAAAATATGTCCTTAAAAATAGAAATCGAAGATATGTCTCCTAAAATTTTTTAAGCTTTACAATTCCGTAACAAATTTTTTAATGTCTTCTGTAAGAGGATTGTTAGTTGGTAAAAATCTCTTGATATTTAGTCGTGGAAATCTTTGCCTCTGGTTATATTAAAATTTTTTGATGAATAAGCAAAATAAACTTTTTGAGTCGTGTTTCCATAGATATCGTTTCATTTGTCCAACCGGACCTGCCAAACTGTACTAATAATTTTTATGCGGTAAAACATCTCTAGCTTGAACCCAAAATGATATTAACATTTGATCGAGACTTTTTCTCAATAAATAATTCAGTTTATTAAAAAAGAAACTGGTTTTTCCCCGAATTCAACAAGCCACAAACAAGAATAGCTTTACACCAACATAGTTAAACCCGCATCTCGAACCGAGAAAACAATTTCGTTCACTGAAAAATCGCGAAGTGTTTGTGGTTTTCTGTTAACCGGCAAAGCCGTCTCACAATCGATCGATCTGATCCATTTCCAACAGTTTAATCAATAATGCAAGTAGTTTGACTGCCTAACATAACGAGTCTTCCGAAGGTAAAATGCAGTTAAGAGAACTTCGTACGCGTCATACTTCAAACTCCCTCCATTGTCAAATTTTTAATGAAATGACTAGCTTTGTGCAATGGCGACAAAACGAATAAGGAATAAGAAACTAACGAAAATTGAAGGATAGATTTAATTATAACAGAATATTCCGTCAAAGCGACAAAGTTTTCCACAGCGTGAATTAAACGAAAACGCCGGTGGAATATATAACTTGGCTTGCTGGTGTATTTATTTACCATCGCAGCCTTAGGGAAAAAAATATTTGTCGATAAAATAAGAAGCCACGATTGAAGAGTACTCTTTGCATCTTCCGCCAATATGTGAGGGAAGCGAAATAAAGCTACACTAAACGCACTGATATGTAACACGCGGACGAATTATTTGATGTGCAAGACTGATAGCTACAGAAGGAGCACTTTTCGCTGACAATTCGATTCAAGAGCTCTTAGTCGGCATCAAACTGTGGAAACAATAAAAACGTTTTTGACAATTTCAAGCTCTCCAGATCACCTCAGGTCTTTACTGTCACTCTTTCCTTGTACTCTTAACCTTGTGCAACATTAATTAACAGGTCGCTCTTCTCGAGTTGAAGCGTTTTAACATGGTGTAAATTACAAGGATGTTACACAACTGAAAATTTTGCCTCATTTTACCAAGCTGCCATCGATTCTACCAGAACTATATATCCGGTTGTGTGTTGTTGTGTTTCATGCTAAGAGAAACATAGAATGTCTATGGAACATTTCTTATGGCAGACTCAACACCCAGCTGTTCAAACCAACAAAAAATAACAAATGTACCTTATCTGATTCGTAGCTCCGTCCCTTCGACGTCGGAAAAATGAATTTGAAGCCTGCAGCAGCGCAGATAACCAATAGCCGAATACTTTAAAGATTCTCAGAGAATCGACCCCGTGTTTTGCAATGGTTCCAACTGAACTCGCTGTACTCTTTCATCAGTGTTTCGACGTCTTACTTTTCGAAAGTGATCCCTGACACGACTTATTCAAATGCAAATGTATACGATAAACTGAATCTGCATTTATTAAACGCTGTTTTTTATGGCAACTGTCGCGAGCGCTTGAAAACCCCATCTAGTAGTTTTTTAAGTTACTGATGGTTCCTTTTATTCCAATTCAAATTAGAAATATCACTTTGCTCGGCTGTAAGACCCCTCAAAAACGCTCGTGAGACCAAATCTATTTTCCGGGAGGAATGGAGTTTATTTTCCATGCAATTTTTAACAAGAGCATAGGTATTGAGGCGTCTTGGAAACACTTTCTTACATTTATATCCGGGACGAGCGGAAGAAGTTATCACCTCAGATCGCGAAGATGCATTAAAAATCGGGCTAATGAATTAAGCGGTGGACATAGCCTCGTTAGTCCACATCTTTCAGTATTTTGAGAAGAAGTAAACATTTCATAAGTTATCTTCGCTGTTTTACACATTTAAGAGGTTTTAACTTAAATTAAATCGACCCAATAGAACTCTCCCAGTTAATCACCTTGCAATCGGGAGAGGTCAACCTATGTTTGTTAAATTCCAGTTTTGTGCTTTACCAGGTTACCCTGGTAACCGAGTTGAAAGAAAAAAACAAAAAAAGGCAGTCGCATTTTAGGTTATGAATGAGATAGGGCCCTTATGCCTCTCAAAGTGTTCTACTTGTCACATACTTGAAAAGAGCGCAATAAAAAAAAAAAAAAACTTCCCAAGGGCTAAACCCGCAGGCCGTTTTTACTTCTCTATCAGTCAAATCTGTCGCTTAATTAAGAATAATGAAATATTGTTATTTGAAAAAAAAACTACGTGCAATGTAAGAGATTTCATTTTCGCTTGTAAATTAAGAGCAAAAAACGCACCCCTTAAACAACGCTACACGGAATTTAATTCCTTTGCGCGAGACATGACACTCACAGGGCCATTTTTCGGAGTTTTCTCTCTGATTTTGCGACTAATTCGATGTTTAAGAGATGAATTTATAGATTATTCACTTCACCCGTTCTATAGTTTGCTCAGTGCAGTCAGAGATCAGTCGCTTGCCTTTTGGGATCGTGTGGGAAATTTCCGCTACCGAAGAAACAGAGCTCCTTAGATTCAATAAACCTTTCATAGATGTATTTCTCCCTCAACAGATAACCTATATATTAAAGTACGTCATTTTAAGACTATCAAGTTTTATCTTAATCTAAACGGATTCGATATCCTTTTTCTCGTTTAATAGATCCAGAGGCTACTTAGAATAGAAATTCCGAATGCTTAGGTCTCTCTGATAGATCCGCCTGATTGGCTGTATTGTTCCCTACCAATCTTACTCGTGCTGAGAATAGGAAAATTTTGCATACGTGATCATCGGTTGATCACGTGGGATGTCAAAGGTGTTTTTCCATTTTATTCAAAAGAAGTTTATTCTTCATTTAATAGCACAGGTGTAGTTGTTGTTTTATAACTAACAAAGGAAGAACTGAATTAGCGACTAAAGAATTAAGGTGTGAAGAAACATCTAAGACGTCGCAAAAAACCTCCGCCTAGTTCTCGTAATCTCATCCTATTAATGCAAATTTCAGGTTATTGTAAAATCGAGTCGTAATCTCTATAATTTCTTGAAAAAGTGTCCATTAGATTTAAGGTTTTTTTAGTGTTAGAGAATGTTGGTTTCACGCACTGTTTTTGTTCGATTTCGTTGCAGGACAGCTACCCCTTCGCAAACCGCCATTTCGCTCTTGCTGCGTCTGCCGATCTCACGCTGTACTCCATTAATGCGTATGATAGTAACCTCAATTCTATGAGGACGCGTTCTGGAAAGATAAATATCCGATTCATACCTTTACTAAGTGTGATTGAAAACAAAAAGGCCAACATTATGACATAAACGTAATGTGATTTTATCAGTCGAGGCTTGTCATATAGTTAAGTATTTTGGTGTGCCTTTGCATGGGGCAAGGAGCGTTGTCAATCACAGACCTTAAGCCAATCAAATGAGGTCAGATCAAATAGCACCAAGGTTATAGGCAAGGTCAGTTTCTCTCCTGGTCCTTCTCGCCTTCATTTCCATCGTGTTAACATCCGAACACAGATTTTCGGTACTGTAGAAGAATTTTCCCGCCCCTTCCCCATGCTCCGGCCTTCTCTTCAGGCTTTCGTTGCCTTTTTGTACGTATTTGGCTCTTTGCCGATATTTAACCCCACCTTTGCTTAAGAGATTGCGTGATGTTTATTATATCAATGTTCTTGATGTGGGGTGAAATAAAAGCGTCACTATTGTGGCCAATTGATCCCACATTAGCAGTTATTAATTTTATCTCCCGTCAATCTCGTCAACAAACTAGCGTGACGTCATGCAGAGATTGCGTGATGTTTATTATATCAATGTTCTTGATGTAGGGTGAAATAAAAGCGTCACTATTGAGGCCAATTTATCCCACATTAGCAGTTATTATGTTTATCTCCCGTCAATCTTGTCAGCAAACTAGCATGACGTCACGCAGAGCTTCGGTCCCGTTTCAGTAGAGACACGCGGGTTTCGTGATAAAATAGTGTGAGTCCCAGATGATGGTCTTCATTTTGACGACTTAGCTTTACCTTCGAAGCCGTGAGTGTCACAGGCATCTAATTTCTCCGAGAGCGACTCTAACTTCTTGAGTGCGTAGCAAACCTCCGAACTGAAAGCATCCATAACTCAATAGTGTACACTGGGGCGTTTACCATTTGTTTTATAACATAACATTGATACATTGTAGCAAAAGAGTTTTCTTTTATCTAAGAAATCTTACGTGACCAGAAAAAACAAGCGCGCGGGGAAAACTTGTCTTTGCATTTGTTCACGTCGGCAGCGTACACCCATGGGCAAATGGTGGACGCTGAACTGACCAATCATAGCGCGCGCTTCACTTTGGTTATGTTATAATAAAGTCTTGGGGATAAAGGAAATGATCTACCTCTACTCTTGACTATTAAACAAGCTTTGTGCTCCACACCACAAAGATAATGTATAGAGAACGGTATGGTGAAGATACATGCCGATCTATGGGTGTAAGGGGTTAAACTCGTTTTCATTTGAGTTCTTCCAACCCAGTCCTACTCTGAATTAAGTTGTCACATCAGTAACAAATTTGATATAATGGTCGGGACCTTTAAACATCTACTTTCCCAGCCAACAGAACTCACTTGAAGCCACCAAGATAGGGAACACCAAGCACAGCGGCTTAGTGTTATTGTCGGTATGTTCATGATCCATGTATTTCTACACTCCACACTGCAGAACAAGAGGAAATGGAAGAACAGAGAAGAAGACTCCTAGTCCAGACCTTACGATATGTCAATTCCACTAAAATATAATTTATAGTTAACCTCTAAAACGGAAGTTTGTTTTCCGAGAGGTCCTCATCAAGAGTAAATTGGTATGATTTCCTGAGTGAAAGCAATTTGATGGTGGACAGTGAGTTCTGTTATTGGTTTTGCCGCGAAAAACAAGGGGAAGGATCTCTCTGGAACGAGATTTACAACGACGTCTCAGAATGCATATTTCCATTTTCTTCTAAAACTAAATAATAGTTTAGGTGTCACGGGAATTTCTAGTCAATACCCAGAGTCCTCTCTCCTCCAATTTTCTCTTGGTTGTTATTATTCATATTTAAATATTAAGCGTCGCTCTCTTCTCTGAGAGTCACACGTGCATAATATTAATTGCATTACACATATTTGAAATATATCTCGGTGAACATTATTGAAAATTGTAAGAAGTAGACATCCGTATTTATAGAGGATAGCCCCTTCAGTGTAGTAAACACTGGTATCAGTTTGGGGGTCCTGTTACCCACCCATCCCACCCCAGGGGAGGAAATCCATCACACAGTAATCTCGTGCGTGGGAAATTAACGTCCCTATTCGAGAAGACTAGAATATCTATATAATTTCTTGATGTTATAGAAAGGTAGCATATTCTTCTCAATTACTTTAAGACCCTAGCTGTTGGTCCGGCCGGGGCTCGAACCCTCGACCTCCCGCACAACAGTCCAGCGCTCTATCCGTTGAGCTAACCGGGAGGCGGTTAGCTCAATGAAAATATTAAACAGTACTGTAGTCGGGTTCATCCCTCTATATTTTGGATAGCCTACAATAATATAATACGGGAATGCATCTGAATATTAATGTCTTACTCTTCGATAAAATTGTTTTTCTTTTTCTCTTGTGATGTATTTATGCTGTAGCTTAAATTAAGACTTTAGACTTGAAATCTCTGCAATAGAAGTTTTCTTTTACTTAGTTATCGCGTTTTACTGCCACCCACACACAAGGCTGAAATTCAAGGAAGCCTTTTTGCTTTTGTTTTTCTCCAAGATCGATCGTTAACTGCCCTTTCCTTACAATATCCACACAATAACGAGCTTAAGATCCGACGACGGCAGACATCTGGGACGGCAGACTTGGTCGAGGGGGCTTGGAGAGAGATCCCCGTTCCAANATTGCCAACAATTTTCGCCCAAAGTAAGTTAAAATGGCGTTATTTTGTTAAGGTTTACTCACGTTTTAGCCGCGACGGCAAAATGGCTTTCTTCACGTCACAGACAAGGCCGCTACGGCGGGAAACCTCACAACGACGGCAAACGGAAATAATTCTGGCGGTAACTTCACTTCCGCTTACCGTCCCAAATGTTTGCCGTCGTCGGATCTTAAGCTCGCTATTATAAAACCGAAAGGTTAGGAAAATATGCATTGTCATATATGCTGGAGTTGTTTTCACACCCTTCTTATTGGCGCCTTTTTTTTATGAAAAAGACAACATTTGTCGCACTCTTGGAGCTTGTAAGAATATAACAGCAGCAGAAACACAGCCGATAATCACAGAGAAAATAATGATGAGTCTGTCCAACACTTGCGATGCCGCTCTCCATTCATCCTGCCATTCAATCATTTGATGCAAAGACGGTTCCTTTATTTCGTGCGTGCTTCCTTTATCTTGAACAAGTTTCTCTTTAAGTTTGATCGAATGGTTGCCTTTACCAGCAATACCATTGCAGTTTTTCCCACAGTTGTTGATGTTCTGTTTGGAATCCACTTCATCGTCGGCGACACTGTCTTTTCTCAAGTTCACAGACATTACAGACACAGCAGAATTTTGCTCAAATACGTCTCCAACCCAGGTCAGACCCAGGCCATTGTCCGAGTGGTTAAAAGCTTCAAACGTTGGGTTGTGAATAGTATCAAGCGCATGCCCGCCGTCTGTTGACCGCCGGCTCTCTTTGACTGAGAGCCGTCTTCTTTTGACCTTTACTCTGACAAGAGGCGCCAAAGTTTTGAGAAGAATCGTCTTTAACCAGCCAGGCATCTTTGTTTTGCTATAGTAGAAGTTAAGAACTAGACAGGTGGCTGCTATCGCTAAACCGATTTCGAAGATAGCGACGGTGTAGTAGGTGCCTGAAAATAGAGTCAGTAATTTAGAAAATAGTCATCATTTACTTTTGTATAAGTAAAGATTTGGTAAAACATTTGACAATGAAAAACTGCGATAAAATATTATAAAGCATGACACGACGTTTCGATGTTTCCAGAACGTCATTATCAAGTAAACTAAAATAATTTATTCACCGCTTCATTATATAGGGGGTCCTGTTACCCACCCATCCCACCCCAGGGGGGGAAATCCATCACACAGTAATCTCGTGCGTGGGAAATTAACGTCCCTATTCGAGAAGACTAGAATATCTATATAATTTCTTGATGTTATAGAAAGGTAGCATATTCTTCTCAATTACTTTAAGACCCTAGCTGTTGGTCCGGCCGGGGCTCGAACCCTCGACCTCCCGCACAACAGTCCAGCGCTCTATCCATTGAGCTAACCGGGAGGCGGTTAGCTCAATGAAAATATTAAACAGTACTGTAGTCGGGTTCATCCCTCTATATTTTGGATAGCCTACAATAATATAATACGGGAATGCATCTGAATATTAATGTCTTACTCTTCGATAAAATTGTTTTTCTTTTTCTCTTGTGATGTATTTATGCTGTAGCTTAAATTAAGACTTTAGACTTGAAATCTCTGCAATAGAAGTTTTCTTTTACTTAGTTATCGCGTTTTACTGCCACCCACACACAAGGCTGAAATTCAAGGAAGCCTTTTTGCTTTTGTTTTTCTCCAAGATCGATCGTTAACTGCCCTTTCCTTACAATATCCACACAATAACGAGCTTAAGATCCGACGACGGCAGACATCTGGGACGGCAGACTTGGTCGAGGGGGCTTGGAGAGAGATCCCCGTTCCAATGGCACGAAAAATAGCCTTAAGATAAAGCGCNCAACATTTGTCGCACTCTTGGAGCTTGTAAGAATATAACAGCAGCAGAAACACAGCCGATAATCACAGAGAAAATAATGATGAGTCTGTCCAACACTTGCGATGCCGCTCTCCATTCATCCTGCCATTCAATCATTTGATGCAAAGACGGTTCCTTTATTTCGTGCGTGCTTCCTTTATCTTGAACAAGTTTCTCTTTAAGTTTGATCGAATGGTTGCCTTTACCAGCAATACCATTGCAGTTTTTCCCACAGTTGTTGATGTTCTGTTTGGAATCCACTTCATCGTCGGCGACACTGTCTTTTCTCAAGTTCACAGACATTACAGACACAGCAGAATTTTGCTCAAATACGTCTCCAACCCAGGTCAGACCCAGGCCATTGTCCGAGTGGTTAAAAGCTTCAAACGTTGGGTTGTGAATAGTATCAAGCGCATGCCCGCCGTCTGTTGACCGCCGGCTCTCTTTGACTGAGAGCCGTCTTCTTTTGACCTTTACTCTGACAAGAGGCGCCAAAGTTTTGAGAAGAATCGTCTTTAACCAGCCAGGCATCTTTGTTTTGCTATAGTAGAAGTTAAGAACTAGACAGGTGGCTGCTATCGCTAAACCGATTTCGAAGATAGCGACGGTGTAGTAGGTGCCTGAAAATAGAGTCAGTAATTTAGAAAATAGTCATCATTTACTTTTGTGTTTATCTATCTAACAGAGGTCTTTCGTTGTCGAGAAATTAAATTGCCTCTGTTCCTACAATCTAATTTTGCGACGAGAGACTTGAAGTTAGTTGATAGTTCGTTGGGTAATCATTTGGTCATATCTATTTATCTCTTTCGGATTTTTGTAGAATTCTTTCAGACTTTTTTTGGACTTCCACAGTTATAAAAGGAGACGAAAATCCTGCAAATACTACCCACCTTTCCTCTGGTTATTTGCCTAGTTTTCTGAGAACTAATCACTTAATGAAAACCTATTACAGAATAGAATCCATAAAAGCGTTAGTGGAAAATGTTGTGGCTATGTACGAACTCACTCGTCACCGAAGCAGTTTTGCTTTTTCTGTCGCTTTTTTCGGACTAAATTAAAGGCGCTCTGTAAACACTTACCAATCAAAAAGAAGGTATCTGAGCTGGGTGGTAGTTTCTCCGATGTAAGTTCCTGGAAGATTGTCATGGCCATGAGAACAGTGATACAAAGTGAAATCCTCTCACCACATTCAGGCGGCAACACGAACGTTAGAAACACCATACAGGCAATCAGCGCACAAGGGAACACTAGGTTGATGACGTAATATCTTGAGTGACGTTGTAGATTTAGTGTCAGTAACACTTCAGAATAAGGATGAGGACAGCACGTGTACTTCACCTTAAATTGAAACAACCAGTTTGGTTAAATAATGCGAGACAGTGTTTCTAGGAGTATTCTTTGTTCTGATGTTGTATCCAAAACATGCGCCCAAATGACAAGAGAATATGATGATCAATAAGCTGGAGTCGGGAAAATAAGAGAACGAGGGGGGGGGGGTGGTGGACATAAGAATTTATAATAGTGAGAGGGCAAGTATATTTCAGATACTCAAGTTAAGTAATATGCCATTCCGTCATTGGAAGAGTTTTGAATTCAAACAAGTAGACCTACAAGTCTCTGGGGTGAGAGGGGTTGGGGAGAGGGGTGTCCGGATGCCCCAGACCCTTCCCTTGGATTTACCACCAGAACAGAGCCCTATCTTCAACGGTGTTTTATCACAGAGATCGAGTTAGCGATAAACACTGACGATCGTTTCTTGATCCAATATCTTAGCATTAGGTTAAGGGTTAACGAAGAGGGAAGAGGGTAGGAAATTTAGCAAAGACGCTGTATCTTACCCTTCCCTTCCCTCGCATCGGCAGAGATTTCTTGACCTTTCCAACCTCCCTCTACCTTAAAAACCCAGGATGGCGACAAAAGTTCTCTTGAAGAACCACGAGGCGCTTGATGGCCAAATATACGCACGTACTGCGGTGTGTAACATTTAGTAACTTGTACATACCTCATTCCGCACTGCATGGACACTAACAAGGTGCCACTCGTTGGAAGGCTGGTAAATCTCTTTCTGTAAACCTGTCTCCTTAGGATTGACGTAAACATCAAGCTTTGAGACGTCATAAGCCCAGGAAGCAAATTTCATGTGACAATTTTGCTCATCGAAGGGAAAATACTTGATATCGATTTTGCAAATACTCTGGAACATGGCAGGCGCCATCCATGAGTTGTTTCCATCATAAGACAGGGAAATTTTGGTTTTGTACTTTTCCAGTGCACCAGCGGCATCCATCTCTTTGTCAGCGCTGAAAAGTAAACTTTACTTGGTATATTGATCAGGGAGTTAAAAGACTGAATGTAGCTCTGAGAAGCCTTGCCACCAACTGACAGCCAGATTCTGCGCTGATTTTGTTTGAAACAGTGATTAAACGATTGAAATAATCGGGTTAACTATTTCACTCTCAATATCTAATTAGTAGTTCACCACACTCTCCGACATACAATTCTTATGATGTTGGTCTGGAGAAAGTTGGTATTCGATGAACTATTAGTCTCCCAATTGTTCTTTTCCTTTATTTTCTTCACTCGTCTGCTTGATACTGTATTGAAACTGAACTGTCTTGGTCATTCAAGAAGGTTGAAAAATTGATCGGTTGATTTCAAGGGCGTGTGGTGTTTTGACAATCACTTACTTGTTATACAACAAGACATCTGGTACCCACACCTTATTGGGAACCACATAAACAGTTTTTAATCCATCATAGTCCTCTGGGTTCCATCTGAGGTCAGGATTGTTCCAATCCTGAGAGTGAATAAAAGCACGCATGCTCATTTCTTTATGTCTACGGAAGAAAGTTAACTTTTGGTGTGTTGATTTCAAACTGCAAAACCAGCTGTCAAGTCAATAAACGGTAGTCAATAAACGGTGGTTTGACATTGTATTATAGTTAATTTTCCAGTTAAACTGGAAAATTTACATGAATCAATGAATACATAGAGTAAAAGTACTGAGTAGGCGCTCACTCCACTTGTCATGTGACCGGAAGTGGTAAAGGGTCACTTGGCCGGAAGTGATCATTACACCAGCGTAATGAGCCTTTGTATGCATTGCGTGCCTTTGATCTTGGAGGCCAATTCAGCGAGGGACTCAATTCGCTGTCTTTCTATCATTTTAATTTATCATTCCCACGTTATTCATCCATCTTTGGTACAGCCTGCGATTATTTCATGAAGATCCAAGCGTAGTCCGGCCGGCTACGAGAAATTTTGTACCGTTCGATGTTCTGAGTCTGTTAAAGTTCAGCCAAACAGCATACCATATTTAAAAGCGATTATACATTAAAACCCCATTACTTTTTAAACAGTCGTAAGTTTTAATAATTATTTTACTCAGCATTGTTGGAGAAAAATGCAAAAGACAGACCTGTATCATCCACCACTGTGCCTGCAGAGCATTGTTCTTCTCGTCCTACAGGGACAGAAACCAGTATTTTCACGTATTAATTGGTTTCCAATCGCCGTATCTGAGTCCCATAATTTACGGTGTTTTGTAGTAGAATAGAATCTAAGAATTTACCATTTTACGTCTCAAGACGAGATTCACGCAGCAGGGGGTCAAGTTTGTTTACTATTGTTCACATTTGTGGAGCTCAAGTTGATCGATGATCCTAACATCAAAATTGATACGACCGCCAATGAGAACAGTGGAAATTAAAGCGAGGCACCTGAAGCGCGAGGGAAAGGGAGTCATCGAGTCGTGTGATTGGTTAAAATAAAGCATCTGATTGGCATTGTTAACGGCGCGAGTTTTCTGGACCAATCATAGAGCAGACTTACAATGTTGACAATCCGCACAACTTTTGCGCCTACTTCCACCTTGACTCGTTGTCCGCCACCAGGGTGTCCATCTCTGTCATAACCCGCTAGTAAATCTTCCAACAACCGCTGTTGAGGGTTGCTAGAAAAATTCCTTTCCGCTGTTTAAAGAAATCAGACGATTGAACAATACAGTATTAAACATTTTGGTTTTTTTTTTGTCGATACCTTTTTGCCGATGCAAAGGTTTGTGCTAAATTGATAATTTCAGGATTTTGGTGGCAATTTTTGAAAGGCTACGTCGATCGCTAGGACGTCTAATTCTTTTTAAAAGATTAACGAATAAATGAAAAAGTTGCATTCATATTTTGAGATATTCAATCACTTATTCACTTATGCTGGTGCTTGCCTTTGCGTACGTGAGTGTGCAGCTCTAAAATGCGTTTGTTTGTTCATGCGAACATTCATTTCTTTTTATTGGAAGAGATCTTGCGTGCATCTCAGCCGTTAGCGTGATGGATCATGCAAATTTTAAAGAGGTTTACTGAGAGGGCAGTCTTTTTTCTTTCATTCATCTCTAAAAGCCATAGATAGCTAAGAAGATATGATTCCAAGTAATGGGATGAAAAGGCCATTGCGTAGTAACTTTGATCAATCATTCAACAAACTTTCTATTCTTGAAATAACTAATGCAAATGTACCAAAATAGTGAACTTTAATTAAAAAAGTCTAGCTCATTAACACATTGGACGCCAGAATAACTGAAACCTTTTTTTAGAACTTAATCTAACACCTTGATTTTGATTTAAATATTTAATTTCACCTCGTGAAAATCATGAAAGTGAACGTTGTTCCTGAATGTGCCACTTAAGAGTCGATAGTCAATATGCTACCACAGAAATCTCCTTCCCTTCAAAAACTGTTCCATAACAGAAATACCACGGAGTCTGATGAAAATTCGATGTTAATTCTTTTTACCGGAAATATATTGTACACCAAAACTTCACAAGAGTGTTTTAAAAGGCATGAAAAGTGTATACTGGTAACTGAAGAGCTCTCTCAAAGCTTGACAGAGATTGTTTCTTTCTTACCTTTTGATGTTTGGCAAGTCAACAAGGATACCCCAATTTGGAGCATTAGAACACGTAACATTGTTTGTGTAAGGTTCGGCCCAGTATTCGACGATCTTATTCGCGACTATCTGTAAGAGAAATAAACAATTTTGAGCTTCCTGAAAACTTTCACCCATAATCATTTTGAATCGATTTACAACCCTAATTGCGAATAATGTTTTAACCTGAAACTTTGGGATAAATTCTACATTACATAATCATTAATGTAAAAGCTACCGAGACAGTTCCTCAGATTCTCGGATTCAATGTTACTCACAATACTGTCAATTCCTTTTTTCTGGAGTACATCTGTTAGTATTTTCCTCAACGACCAGGAGACCTTCTGTCGCCTAGCACTCAACCTTCTGCCTAGCACTCAACCTTCCTTCTGCCTAGCACTCAACCCGTAGCTTCCTTCCCAGTCTATCTATTATGTGATACTCAACTGTGAACACATAAATGGTTTTTCATTTCAAATTAACTCTTATCAGACTTGTACTATATAGCTCTACATCATGGCCATAATTACGATATACCGAGATAATAAAAGAACGCTTAATGACCTTGAGACCTTGCTATAAACACTGCAGATGTAAAGAGTTAATGTTTTTTTTTCTTGATTTGTTCTCTGAGAATAAAAAAAAAAAAAAACTGAAACATATCGTTACATTGATTTTTTTTTCTGGTTAATAATTTTTAATTACACAAGCCATTTTACGTGCAAATTTCTAATCATACCGCAAAAATCTTTATCTGCCTTACAGGTAAAATTCAAGATGTGCATCTTATCCACTGATATGAAACCGAGTACGTAAGGCTTGAATAACAATGATTTAGACTGACGGGCGTCGATGAAATTAAGACTTCGGTCCTCTTCAATTTTTTGCAAGGGAATTACTGAAAATGATTTAAAAAGGTAAATGCATTTTAAGTTGTTGTTGTTGTTTTTTATTTTGTAAAAGAACGTTAAAAACGATATTTGGTCAAATCCTAAAAACATGAGTTGATTTGTTAATGCGACAGATAATTAGAATTCTAATCTTCAGCGATTAATGCCGAATTTATTATACGAGCACAATTTCGGACTTTCTCGACAACCATTTTTCTATCTCGTTTGATTTCTAAATTTCAAAGTTGTTGTCTATTTCATTTGACCGAAGACTTTTGACACATAAGCAAAAAATCTGATATAAAATATTTCCTTTCCATATAATTATATCATTCAAAATGATTTGTAAACTAAACAAAGTGAAGTCATGACGATTTTAAACCATCGAACTCAGAATTTTGAACACATGGAATTGATCCAGACCGGACAAGCTAGCATCAATCAATACTTAGCTATGACGGAAAAATTTCATTTCAATTTACCATTTGTCTTGTATAATAGTTATAGTTTAACTTTGCACAAATGTTAATTTAACGCAGACAACCTGCGAAGCATCAACCTGCGAAGCATCGACTCACAAAATTTAAACAGCATTTCTCGAAACTGCTAATAAAGTTGGCCGACATAGCGGCATCTTTACGAATGAAATTGTTTCTTCATATTTTTTACCAATTGGGAAATCTCTTAACTTGCTGTTCACTGATAATATAAGGGTAACGTTATCGCTGTTGAGGTTGGTAATAAAGATTTAAACATTACCTTTGTGTCGTAGGTTTTTTGCAAACGATTGTTCCACTGTTAACCACGCTTACTTCCCGACTTGAGCTTCCAACACGCTCTTTACAGGAAGACCGACGTAGGCGGAAAAAAACAATTTCTCCGCATAATTTGAAAAGTGGTTTAGCATACTACCGCCTTTGAAGGGATGTATTTAGTAAATTTTTTTCCGTGTTTTGACCAGCCGGCGTAACGAGCTTTATTTCAAAAGCAGTGCTACTCTAGCGACAAAGTTTGTTTATGAAACGGGAAACAGTAAGTTTAAATCGTGCTTGGAAACCTAAGTACGTAACAAGCTTCAAATATAAATGAAATACAAGTGGTTTTCCCAAAACATGTGTGGTCATGTGATCATGGAGCAGGTGATATTGTTAGTGAAATATCAATCGAAATGTAAAGATTAGCAGGCGTTACTTTTACCGTAGGAGCCAATTTTACGCATTTTTCGTGTAGTACGTGCGCTGTATTACACGTAAGCTTACTCAGCTGTCTTTAATATTGGCAGAGAAGTGTATTGAAAATTTATATTTTAAACGGGTACACAATCGAATTATAACGTTACTCTTTCCAGGGTGCGAAACATGCTCAGCACAAGCTTTTGCCGAGGGCCCATTACCCGGCTAATGGGCGCCTGATTTTGCAAAATACACAAAAACTTTCCAACGCGATCGATTTACGACAGCTTTACCTAACAGTTTGCGTCACTGGTGTTGTAAAACAATCAGTTGACTAATGATGATCGTGTTATTAGTAAAGCACGTTCATTCTTAAAATCTAAGGTGGTTGGCAATTTTCTAATAAAACAATGAGCAATGTTACCTAGTAAGTAAACCAAAGCGGTTTTGCTGTATTTTGTTCGTTTGCGTCCCCAAAGTGCCTCTTCCTTTTCCTCGTAGTGTTTGTAGTAGGGCTAGGTGGAAATGGTATGGTTTTCCCGCCAAAGAATGAGTCAGCACCCAGCAGTTTTCCTGTACTAAGCTGGTTCAAGGACCTTCAAGCAATTTCCCTTAGAATTTTTTTTTTTTCCGGTGAGCAAGGTTTGTAGCAAAGGGCTCGGCGAAACCTTAAGAATGATGATGAGTGATGACTCAGCAGATATATCAAAATTATATTGCCTACGAGGTGTTGTTTGTAAATAAAATTATCTTGTTTAGCTAAGTCCATAATACTTGTCTTCCGTTTATTGTTAATAATTGACAACAAGGATTAAGTGGAGAGCAAATTCATTTTTGTTGTTAATTGTTTGAGATACTAAAATGAGTGGAAGATTCGCTCAAATATTTTTGCTTCATGACTTGAAGTTCCTGTTGTTCAAAACTCAATGCATGACAAGATTATATTGAACATGTTGATTAGGAAAGCTACGGTCTTGAACAGACTCTAAGCATGAAATTCCGTTTTCCGATAATTATCAATCATGCGGACTTTTCTTAACGAACAGGTTCCATTATTCTATCAGTAAATCTCACTGATTTATAATTCACTGGTGACGTCTCAAAGTACTGAGAAGATTGAAGTAACAATTGAGAATCAGGCGAGCGTATTACTGACGTAAGTGGTGCGTCTATATTCCGATAGCTCATAAACAAGAACTAATGAAAGCGCTTGCAGTATTCAATTTATAAGTGTATTCATGTGTCATTTCAAGGAGTGGCAGTTTGGGACTGTAGTCAAGTACGTTTAACAAAGTTTGATACTTAGGGACTAGTCATTATTTGTTGCTTAAGGGAGGGTGGTTGGAGTATTTTGGGGATCACATGGTTTTCAGGGGGAACGGAGGGGGGAATCAGTCGTCACTAACAGAGTGTAAGGAGAGGGGGTATAAAAAAAAAATTGACTACCAATTAACCGCAAATGAGGAAGGGTCACGAGATCATAATCTAAATTTCCTCTTTTTACGGACGAAATACTTGCACCCATTGGAGGGTATTCAAGAGTGACTTCTAAGAATATCTTGTTGTCTTGTAGTCCTTAGAGCTCGGAGCTGAGAGAAAACTAAAGCCGACAGTTTCGGTATATCCGAGAATGGGCTGGATCGAGACAGCTTGGGACATACTATGTCTCGTTCCATTCTCCTCTTGCCTACAGCTCCTGCGCGCCATCGAGAGAATTTATACCATTTGACACAGAGCAACAGCTAGACTTCGAAAATAGCCCATTCGAAATAAGTTATTCATACAAGTCAATTCTTTTCAGACTTTTCTATGGAAAGATAATTGCATATAAAGGACTGCTACTAGCTTATCAACCCGCAGAACACATGTCACTGAGATTTATTATATATGTAAATACCCGGTATAAATAACCAAAAGTTTAATTTAAAATAGATAACAGTTTCTGTTCATTTTACTTTAAAATTTGAGCTTTTAACTGTGTCCACACACACATTCAAAAAAATACCTTGAAATTGAAATTTTAATTTTCGCTGAGCTTTTCAACCGCAAACCAATTAACTTCAAAACTTTTTTGCTGAATGTTAATGTTTCTTCATAAATTATAATAATAACCAGCCATGGAAAAGAGAACTTTCTTTTTTCAGATCTCTGCTGATGTTATCGATAACCAGACACTTGATGACAGTGACATGAAATACCAATAAAACAAAGAGTATGATGGAATAAAGAAATATGTACATCACGATAAAGCTTGAAGCTGAAACTTTGTTCGATCCAGATGTCTTTAAAGAAAAAAGGAAATAAAAAGAAATGTTTTATTGACCGCTCTCTCTCAGAGAGCGAGTGAAAGCCTGTCTAACACACGATCGAGGCCGGCGACAAACGAGCCACATACGGCGTTGTGTGTACAGCTCTAAAAAGCTCACTGGGATAAATTTTATGGCTGCAATTAAGCCACTAATTCAAACCAGCTTTAGTTTTCAACGACATGTTAAGGGGAAAAATTCTGCCATAGCGTCAAATGATTGAATAGAAAACTGTCCGCGTTACGCAAAGGGACCTGTGTCTCAGATTTCATTATCTGTGCTAGAATTGTATAGAAAGAATTTGTTGACGTCTTCAGTTCAACGCTGTCCAAAAATTAGAATAACTCGAAAAACATTCGATCGCCCTACCTTGTTGACGGATTGTGGTTTACAAGTATTGTCCACAAATTCAACATCAAACAGTCGTAAAAAACTACTGTATATGAACAAGAAGGACTGATAAAGGAAAACCTCATTACTCGATTTTACATATTTCTAATCAGCAGAAATGTAAATGCGAAAAATTAATTTTCTCTTTTTGTGACGCTTGACACATAGTGCCGGATAATTGAGGCATTGACTGAGAGCTTTTTTAGTCCCAAGTCGCGAGCCGACTTCAAAATATTTACAGTGAGTAAGATTACAAGATACGTGAACAGCTAAATGAACTAATGGCCAGTAGAAGTCAAAATTTGAGATGAAGGCACCTTGCTTGGGTTGTGACAATAATGAAACTTCAAAGAAATTCATGACACTATTTAACTCGCGGGCTTAACGCTCCATGTTAGAACACAAACTTCTCCGAAATAAGATTCTTCCGTACAACATGGCGTAAGGGTGGAGGGGAGGGGAGGGGGGAATTGCCGAAAAAAGACTTTTCTGATCCTTGAGACAAAGGGCGCAGCCTGATAAAAATATCAGTTGCTACCTCTAAACTGGTTCCACGTCCAACAATTTTCTTTGTACGTCACCCGAACGGATGAAAGGAAAAATAGCTCATAGCCATGTATTAGTTAATGGAGATCAATGCTCTTGTGAGCATCATCATCATCAGTCTTCTTCGTGCTCTGAATAAAGGCGGATAGTTTCGAAAGAAACTGTTTGGGGCTGCGTCGGTGGGAGTAACGAAATAATTTGGATATATCAACAAAGTTGAAATGGTAAATTGGCCACCGTAATGATTACAAAAGCTGACGTTTCGAGCGTTAGCCCTTCGTCGCTCCGACGAAGGGCTAACGCTCGAAACGTCAGCTTTTGTAATCATTACGGTGGCCAATTTACCATTTCAACTTTGTTGATATATCCAAATTTCTTCGTGCTCTGTTGCGCATAAGGCCTTGATACTTCTCCTCCAGCGGTCCCAGTCTCTTCCAATAATCCTCGCTTCTTCCCACGACTTCCAACCTGCCTCACTTCTTTCCTTTTCAATCGATCGCCTCCAAGTTGTTTTGGGCCTGCCCACCTTTCTCTTACCGTCTGGTGACCATGCGAGGGCTATAGCGCAGTGGTGGTCTTGCGGCATCCTCAAGACATGTCCAAGAAACTTCCAACTCCTTCTCCTGACTTCTATGCTCATAGGAGCGGCTCCTTTGAAATGATGTACGGCCAAAATATACCTTGAATTTTTTTTCAGGCACTGGTACTGAAAGGAATCAAGTTTCTCGTAATCTTTAGCATTTGTCTTCCATGTTTCACTTCCATACAAAAGGACCGGTTTCACGAGGGTGTTGAATAGCTTATTCTTGGTCTTCTTACTATATTGCTTGGAGCTCCACACTTATCTCAAATTCCTGAATGCTGTCTTGGCCTTACAAAGTCTGCTTTCTATGTCCTTATCTGCTCCCCCATCCGCACTTACACATGCTCCAAGATAAGTGAAGTCGTCGGTTTCCTGGATGTCTTGACCGTTTTGGAATTTGATCGAGTTGTTGTTCTTGCAATTAATTTTCGGTATCCGTGTTTTCGATTTGCTAATGTTCAGTCCCACTCTCTGAGCTGCCTCTGTTAGCTTATCTGTCTTCTTTTACATCTGTCCGTGATTGGTTGAGATCAGAGCGATATCATCCGCGTAATCTAGGTCTTCTAGCTGACTGGTGAATTTCCATCTGATGCCTGTCTTTGCTAGATTGGTTGTCTCTTGCATTATCCAGTCGATGGCGAGGAGGAATAAGAAGTCTGACATTACACAACCTTGCTTGACGCCAGTTTTTACTTGCAACCATTCGGATGCTTGACCTCCATCAAAGACTGCAGATTTGGAATCTTGGTAAAGGAGTTGGATTATTCTGATGAGTTTACTCGGTATTCCATATAGCTTCATAATATCCCAAAGGCTGTTCCTATGTAACGAATCAAATGCTTCCTCGAAGTCGACGAAGTTCAGGATCAGGAAAGCCTGCCATTTATGTGTCTGTTCGATAATGTTGCGTAGTATGATCTGTTCGGTGGTCCTTCGTCCCTGGCGAAATCCAGCTTGTTCTTGACGTAGTTTCGCATCTATTCCTTGCTTCATGCACTCCATGAGAATCTTGCCTAGGACTTTGCTCGCAATAATGAGTAAGGTTATACCTCGCCAGTTGGTGCAGTCCCTTAATTAGGTTTCCTTTCTTGGGTAGCTTGATGATTAACCCTTTTAACCATTCTAAGGGGGCTTGTTCAAGTTCTTCCCATATTAATTGATTTATTCTGTGTAGCTTTTAGGTAGATATTTCCAGGTCTGCTTTGAGAAGCTCTGCTACTATGTTGTCGACGCCGCCTGCTTTTCCGTTCTTTAGTGATCTAATTCCTTGCCTAACTTTGTCTTTGCTGATGGGCTCTGTATTGATTTCTTCAATTTCTGGGATATCTGCGTCAATCATCAATGGGTTTGTTGGGGCTTCGCGGTTCAGGATCTCTTCAAAGTATTCTTTCCAGCGGGTTAATCTGGCTGAGTCTTCGGTAATGGTTTTCCCCTCTTTGTCGTTAATGGCGGTGGAGTTGCGTGGCTTTTCATTGCAGATAGATTTTGTTATCTCGTATAAGGTTTTCATGTTACCCATGTCCGCTGCTTTTTTTGCATCATCCATTTGGTCGTTGAGCCATTTCCGTTTGTCTTCTTTGAGGTTCTTCTTAACTTGTTTGTCTTTAATCTTATATTTTGCTCGGAGTTGATTTTGCTCGGAGTTGATTTTGCTCTTGTGAGCAAATTAGAATTATTTTCACAAAACTTGAATAGTGAAAAATCACCTTAAGTCAAACAGTTGAAGAAAAAAAAATTAAACGATTGAGCTTTTAGATAAACCAACTGAATAAACACTACTCTCTTGCTTTAAAACGCCGAACAATCAGCCAAAAACCACAATCACAAATAATATAGTTTAATGTTTACTTGCACCTCAAGAATGATCTCCGGTGACATGTTGTTCATATGCAATTAATAGTAAGGAAAGTTCACTGACGTAAATTCTACTAACACCGATTTGGTGGCCGAACGTAACTTTGGAAATTAGTTTAGACTGAAAATAATCATTGTATACTTTAGAAAATCACACTGTAAAATCAAGCCAGTGTTTTCGCGTTCGTGTCGGAAACAGACTCTTAAAGGCCATTATTTTTAATAAAAAAAATATACAGCTCAATATAAAAACATCGAATTACCTGAGTAGCGGAGGATTCAGCCGTTAAAGCCTCATTCTAAATGAATAAAACTTGGATTAACTAACCTGTGAGACGATTACCGCGAACAATAGGGATCGAAAACGCGTCCAGATGTGAAACCGAAGCCTATGAGTAAGTACAGTTTTTATCTCGTTTTTCACTCGAAAATAGGATCGTAACACGATGGAAAACACAGCTGCGAGGCAGTAGAGGACATTTACGGCCTAGTTATACCTCCTTGACGTGATTGGATGATTTCATTATTAAAAGGAGGAGAACGTAAAATTCCATATCAAGTTTCCTTGTAAATATTTAAATTTCTAGTAAAACGTCCTTACAGCAGGAAAGGTGTACCCAGCTGGAAGATCCCTAGCTCACCACTTAGCTAAGTACGCCAAAAGCAAAAATCTCTCAGCGATAACACTCATGGGCTCTCAACTTTGAAACGACCTCGACAGTTAAGTTTCACGATAAATGTAATATCTTTTTTCTTTCAAGCACCACTAAAACTCATTTATGATTGATTCCTCTAGGGATGTTGGAAAAGTTATTATGTGCATGTACATGATAATTCTAAAACTGAAGCATAGCTACTCACAGAATGTAAGGCAAGATTCTAGACATAAGGAATGAGAAACAAACAATGATTCAAGGAATTAACAAACTGGCGCCAATAAATGAACGAACAAACGAAACGAAACGAAACGAGTGGTGGAATAAATATATAGATGAATGCATGAAAAAATGAAAAGGAAGAAAACATGAAGCAGCGATAGCAACTTTCATTCTTCATTTTAATTGTCTTTCCTACATATCGTGTCATGATATATCGGTGTACTGAAATTATTGTGAAAAACCATTAATAATCATCGAGTCATTGTGGTGTCATGTAGCGAGCTGTAACTATTAAACTGGAGGATCCAAACTCACCGCTGGCTTAGTAATATATACTGGAAGAAGTGCTTCTATTCTTCATTCTTTAGGTCAGTCGTCAATGAGGCCATCTTAAGGTGCAGTACAGTGCGTATTTAACACATTTGCCATGTTAAAATTACTCTTCTAACCGCAATTTTCTCGGAGAAGTCTCTGTAAAATGTGTCATTAGGTATGCAAATCTATTTTTAAAACCTCAATTGAAATTAAAATTTTTAAATTGAAAGCACAAATGAGTAGATTATCTACTTGATCATCAAATTCAAGCTTAAAAGAATAATTGATTTCTGATCAACTTCATTCTTACTGTTCCTTTTGTGTAGTCTAACATTTTGAAGGTTTTACGCCGACTAGGTACCGCTAATTAATGAATTCCTCCTGCAACCATTGCAATTAAGTTTTCCTTTCAATTTCTTTCGCTTTTAGTTTAAAATCTCATGCTGTGAAGACCGAAAACAAATGTAATTCAAACCGGTATCTTCCAACTTTTATTTTCTCCTCGCTGTGATCAGAGAGGAAAAACAGCGATCAATTCGTGTGTATTTGCATTTTATTTGTGATCAGTGCGTCATGATATATTAGTTAACAGTGCCGCTATAATGACTGTGATGGTAAATAGTTGAAATACACAAACTGTTTGAATGAGGAATAAAGCCTCAGAATTATCTATCTATTCCCGCAAGCTGGGAGACATCGTAAAAAGTTAACATTGGAATGAAATCTTCTCAGAGTTGACGTTAATGTCAAACCCAAAATTTTCTTTCGGCTAGTTCAATTTTACTTTTATTCGAAGAGTATCTTAATTAATTTGACGTTGAAACCCCCTTACCTTCTCTGGGGACAAATTTCCTTCGACTTTATCAATAATACTTGTTTTCTTTTCAAAAGAGATCAGATAGACGATAGATTTGTACTTCCAACCTTTAGAGCAGATCGTTACTATGAGACAAGAACAAATACAATAGTTAGTTATAACCTATAGACATGAGAGACAAGTTTCGTTGCATTTGTTCTCACAAAAATCAACGAATTAATTACCTGAAGAAATTTCCTCTGTTTGAATATTTATTAGACTTATTCCGATCTCTGATAAGTCAATGCTTTGTTCTCTGTTTGGCTCAACTCTTATCGTGTGGTTTTACCCTATAACTATTCTATATATATGTCGCAAATGAACTGTTAATGAATGGTATTAACAAGCAAGCATGGAAATTTTACGCTTCGAAATGCCACTATACGTGACTCATAAATGAATCACCGTTTTATAAAGGCATAATTTATCTAACCCCTGAAAATCAGGCAAGGAAAATTCCTCTTTTTGGTTCTGGGTATTTTTTAACCTCTTTGGTACCGCCAGCTTCAACCCTCGCATTTAGACAAGCCCTAAGAACACAGTTTTTTTTATGTGCCTACAATACGATGATTTCATTAAAAAGATGAAAAATGAGTAGAAATGAAAACAAATATAAACGCGGGCAACGGAAATTTCCGATAACATCATTAAAGTCTCTTTCTCTTGCCAGGTACAAAAAATTACAAAGGCAGGGACTCTTCAAACATCTGACTAATACGGGAGATTTTTCCTATCGGCTAGATCTTATAGAGGATGTTTATTAAAAATTTAAGATGCATTGCGCAGCATCGCCCAATTACGGTTTTGTAATCATCTATTGTCTGTTCGCCTCAGGCAGTAGGCGGTTCTATTTTATTTTTTTTGTTTATGTACGGGGGTTTTTCTCTAAAGCGGGATCACTCCATTAGTTTTGTTCCCTCCTGACGTAAATTTGGCTTCTGTTTTTCAGAGAATTATGGCCTTTTTGATAAACGTATCCTTCGCCTCAAGTAGTTGATCAACATTTGAGTGCTTTCCACTGCGAGAGCGAAAATTTCTTTCAAAAAGCATTTGAAAATTTCATTTAAGATAAATTTCTTAAAAAATAAAGTAAATGGTTACAAAATCTATCGACCAAGACTGTTGAGAATTTTTTACAGGCCAACAGCACCCGCAAAATATGATTCTAGATGAAAAAAATTTTTGACTTACTGATTTTACGGAATTTTTGTAAGGCCGAGAGCTGTTTCAAGGGTGTGAATACAGCGGTGTGTATACTGTTTGCATATATAAACAAGAAAGAACCGTCCATTTTGATTCGGCAGTTCAGTTTACTTTAAAATCATTAGGCATGTTGTGTCTTCGATTCCTGCGTTATTAGCGTAAATCAAACGTACTCAAGATGAAAAAAAATTTCGCAAACAAAATGACAAGTAATCCATGTGCCTCTAGGTAAAACTGTCGTAATTCAGTTTCAACAACTGTCGCAGCGGTGAAACGACAAAAGAATAATTAGAGCTTCAAACCCCATTGTATGAAATAAAGATGCCCTTAGTTTGCCAGTCACACTGTCTTTAGATTCATTTTTTAGATTCAACATTCAATCTTGTGAGAATCACTTTTTCGTCGTTATAAAACATAAGATACCCATAATTTTGGCTGACGTTTCCAACTTTTACTTGGAAAATACCAGCATCTGGCAAGTGATATTAGTATAAAATAGAGGCTTACCTTGTCAAAAAGATGGCTGAGAAGAACCCTGTACGCTCTTTAGCCTGCTAGGTTCTGCTAGGTTCTACTAGGTTCTGCTAGGTTCTGCTAGGTTCTGCTAGGTTCTGCTAGGTTCTGCTAGGTTCTGCTAGGTTCTGCTAGGTTCTGAAACTTAAACAATTTTCTTGAGCGTATCGCGGGATGAAGTCTTTCCTACGCCTGTGGATTTCCCTCTTCTCGTTTTAAGTGTTATTTGAATAACTTCTCAGCCATGTTGCACAGTTTCATGATCATCACCTACATGATTTTCTTCGCCGCATAACTCTTACTAAAAACCACACTAAATGAGAAAAATATTAAAATGAAATGCTTTTTTTGTGTCAAGACTTCCAGGTAAATAAATTTACGGAACTAAAACCAATCATTCGCACATTTGTTTCAAATCAAGTCGAGGGGAAAGTTCTAATTTCATAAATAATTTCAAAACCTACAGTATTCGTCCTTAACTACTTTATGAAAAACAGAAAATTAATAATAATAAAAAAATCTTTTTATTTGGTATCTATTGTTGGTTGTTGACCAATACTGAGTCATGAAATCTAGAGAGTTTCTTTGCCCCGCCAATTCACGGGCTTCCTAAACTGTACGAAGTTGATTTATTTATAAATTACGTCTACCCTTAAACCGCTTAGGGCGACCAGCATCTATTTTTTCCTTTCAATAATACCCCTGAATCAAACAATAAGGTAATAAGAATATAGGAAATGATCACCAAATAAATAACCCCTTTATTGTTAAAAACAAGTGTAGAAAACGGTACGGAGAATCAGTGCATACTGATTCAGGAGGTGTAAAAAGTTAGGTCAGTTTTGATGAGTGAGTTCTTCAAAGCTGATAAACATTTCTCGTGAATTCCAGGTGGTTTCGCACACTTTGTCTAAACTCTTAGCCACGGGATAAACCTTTCAAAATGTCAGGACTACCAAGATGACTCGGAAACAGTTCTCTTTGGCAGACTGTCGTAGTCAAAATAAACTTTCTGTCTGGTATTTACTGTAGATCATTGAAATAGAAGTGGTGCGTAGCAAGATATACCATGCAATCAATATCGCCGCTATCACACTCTATAGCAAACAGCACATATGAACGTATTGACATACGGAAAATAAGTTCTTTTGTTGTTTTTTTTATTCCCTTACAAACGACTCAGAAGATAAACAGATCAGAATGTCTACATTTCATTGTTATTTTCGCGTGTGGTCGTGCTTATTCTAATGATAAGTATTAAAAACCTGGTTCAAACCGAAGAGATTAATTTGATTTGCTTGTAATCATCATTATACTTGTTTTCCATTGTTTATTTTTCTTTTACAACAACCATGATCATGGAAAAATCTTAAATCTGTTTCAAATAAAGGGCTCCGAAATAAAGTAGCGAATTAAAAGCAAGGGATGAAATCGGAGAAAAATGTTCACAAGTAAGCCGCACTTTGAATACAAAGATTCTACAGGTTTATCAACTTGCTACATGAAGGGGCTGTACAGTTTAGTATCATCTTCATGTTTATTCAGTAGTCGAATATCAATGCCGGATCCAAACAATGTTGATCTTTACTACCTGTTTTTCAAGTTATTTCTTACTCAAAATCATATATATTTTTCGTAATATATAACTGTTTTGCAATTACGATGGTTTCTAGTCTAGCCCCCTTAAGGAGGCTGGATATAGATTTTCTCTTTTCTGATGCAAGATATTTAAACTAAAATTACGAAGCTTTGCTTTAACGAATCGCGATCACATTTTCCCCTGAAATAAAGATATTATTGAAGAATCAGTTTGTTGTAAATATATTGAAAAAATTTGTTGCCATGGCAACGTTGCTGGCTTGCAATATAATGCTGGGTCCAAAATTAGACTTGACTTGAATTTTCTTAAAAACTGGACGATGAATTTATTTTAGATTTTGCATGCGTCCTTTGACTGTCTTAGTCTACTTGACTGTTAAGTTTAAAAAAATTCTGTCAGAGAGTTTAAGGAACTTTTTTCCCTCTGACAGAATTTTTTCGAAGTTTTGTAAAACACGCACAGAGCCGTTCAAAGTCAACGTGCAAAAAATAAAAAAAAATTCGCCGCGCGGAAACGGAAATACGTAAGTCTAAAGTTTCAAATTTCCGAAAATTTCGACTCGACAAGATGGGTAGTTGCGCATGCGCAACATTTGTGTCACGCCACGACACTTGCCACGGACGCCACAAGGTTTTGGACGTCTTGTTCGCCGAACGTCCTTCGCGCTCTTCTAAAGAGCTTTATTTTGCTAAGAGAGGTTTACCTTCTGGGTGGATTGCGCCTGGAAATGGCTGCTGCTCTATTTGCCTTCAAAGTGCTGGATTATTTTGTGCAAAGTGTCGGGATGTTTTGTTCCTCTTGGAGCTGATCGACGCGATGTGGTTGGCGATTTGCTAAGAATGGAGACCAGTGCTTCCTTCCCACCGTTGTTGTAAAGATCTTTTAAGTCATCGTAACACAGACCGCTTTCTGCAATTTTCTGAATGATGTTTTCTTTGACGAGGAGCCCGTTATCGCCCTGTGAATAGAGCTTGTCTTTGAAAGTTTACATGCGTTCGTGGCGTCCGTCAAGAAAGTCCATGTCTACGAAAGCGAAGGAGGCGGATTTCACATGCTGTTGTTTACAATGTCAGCGCTTGTTAGCTGCAACGGGGATTGAAAGAGGACAGTGGAGGCACGATGGAAAACACAGCTGC